AAACAAAAAACATTCATGTAAGTATATTGTCTACATTATATGGTTTAAACGTTTATACAACTGCAGCTGGCAAGCCTCTTGTGATTCTTTTGATGTTAAGATGAAGCTCTTTAGCTGCAACTTGACATCGAAATTTTATTATCTCGACATGCACAAATATTAGTATAATCAGGAATGCAAAATCCTAAAAGAACTCCGGCTTAGTATCTCTATTTTTTCCTGGTCTCTGGTGTCCAAAAGCTCTAGACATGTTGATTTATGATCTGCTAAATAAAAATTTAATGGCCTAAAAGATTTTGTTTTTAAACCTTCAGTTCTGGAGTCTCAGAATGCTAAGTACCTAAGGACTCCGTATTCAAAAAGAGATTGTTCCTCTAAACTAAAAGTCTTAACTTTTTTACAAATAGTATTCCATAAGCGTTTTTATATGATTAGAGCTCATGGATACCAAAAACTAGAAAGAAGTAATCGATTCAATTTGTCAATTAATCAAATTAAACTAGTCAATTTAAAAATTTTTTTTTATCTTAATTTTTGTTTTGCATTGTTTTTTTTTATTTGTTTATTTTTAGGAGGAGGAGGAGGGGGGGGGGGAATTATCGAATGTTGATGTAATATTATAGGGGAATCACTGAAAGTTTTACAAGTTGTTGACAAGGGGGTGGGGAAGGTAAAAATTGCCACAAATTTGTTGACGTAATTAATGGACAGCCCCCAAGGTACTTTATGTTAAAAGTTGCATCTTTTCTAAATAAAACTACGCTTAACAATTTGTTATAGTCGCATTACTTTTACCAGAAAATAATAGTGGTTAAAATAATCTTTCTATAAATACCAAATATGTCATACTTTTTGATGAAAAAACTTACATATATTGTGATTGAATAAATATATATATTTTTGTTCGGAAAAACGTGTATCAAGCCTTAGTTGTATTGAGTGTTACCAAAATTAGCTGAATTAGCCCTTATTATTTAATTAAATTATTTAATAAAAACAGTTATAATTGTTAATCAATGAAAACTTAATCGAAAATCTTATCTTACTTTGGCCCCTTTAAAAGGATTATCATAAAATCATTGCCCTATCCAGGTAATTTGAGTACCATGTTAAGCTAAATATGCTGTTATGTTTTTGCTTTGTCGCCATTTTTTAAAAAATCAGATTTGATTTATAATATAAACAAACCCATGTTAAAAGCTCTTTGTTGGTGCACGTTTTATAATCTTGTGCATTCAATTTTTACTAGATCTTGTTGTAGCGACAACCTATTTCGAAATTTATATTGTTTTGAGCGAATGTAATTCTTAAAACTTACCGTGAGAACTTTGGATTTACCGTGAGACCGTGAGATTTGTTATCAAACAGTGAGTCTTACGGCAAAACCTGGAGAGTTGGAAGGTCTGCATTGATGTGATATGTAAGTGAAAAATTAAAAAATATTTTCCAAAATTTTATTAAAATAAGTTTCATATTGAAAAGGAACTTGGTACTAAAAGTTGACACTAGAGTCAACAAAATTGGATTTGTAGTCAGCAAATGTTAGCTAAGGGGCTATCTATAAAGAACGTACACAGGCATGGAGGAGGAGGGTTTCCCAAAAGCGTAGGAACGCGTACAAGAGGGGGGGGGGAAGGTGGTGTTAAAGACAATGAGTACGTACGCGGTTTGATCTCTCCTTAACATGATTTTTTTTTTTTTTAAACATTAAATTTCACGTGTGTAACAAATCAGAATTGTTATTTTTTCTGATTTTTTGGCAAAAAACAGATACATTGCCCCTCTTTCTAACCCCCTCCCCTCACATCATCAAGATCTTTTCTCGAACGACCCTACGGTACATATATGTTTTTTTTTACCAAAACCATCTATTCTTTTTTAATTTCTTTTAAATAACGGAACAGCTTTTAAACAGTGACTAAAACTTCATTTACTTCGTTTGAGAAATACTAAAATTATTAGTATAAATTATACTAATAATTTAAGTACTTCTTATACTATAAATTATATAATATGTAACAAAAGGGTCGCCTCATTTATTATAAAAATATTTTTATAATAACATGTTACATAGAAAGTTAGGAGTCGAAGCATAAATTTTTATGGCCAAGATTACAGTCTCCGTAAACATGACCAATCAGTAATGCAGTTTATAATCCCAAACGTTTTAAAAATAACTGAAGTAAAAACATTTTAAATACCATCAGAGTTTTGTTTTTCCTTTTATAACAAATCTAAATGGATTTTATTCTCTAAAGTTTAGATATAAAAGATTGTGTTTTATTTATTATTAAAATAAAAACAAAACTCTGTTGAAAATAGAACTTTTCATTCGTTTAGATTCTAAACGCATAGAAATTCTATTTTTTTAACTTGAGAAAATTCGATTTACCTTAAAGATAAAAGTGGAAACTTGTATTACGCGTATTACTTACACGTATTTTCAACACGTGTTTTCATCTACACTTATAACAAATTTTAATCATGTTTTACATAAATCCACTTTTGGAAAAACTTTTCAACAAATTTTAGGTAAACCACTTTAAGTTAACGTTCAAACATGTATTAAATAAATTAAATAAATCCACTTTAAACTAAATTTTCATCATGTTTTAAAAAAATATACTGAAGACGAATTTTAAATACATTTTAAATGAAGACCCCTTTAAAACAAATTTTTAAACATGTTTTAAATAAATCCAGAATTTGCTTTAAATCTGCTTTAAGCGAACTTTTCATACATATTTTAATAAAGACCACTTTGAGCAAAGTCTCAAACATCTCATCAATAAATCCACTTTAAGCTAAATTTTAATCAAATTTTATAGAAATATATCTTAGGAGAATTTTAAAACACATTTTAGATAAATCTTTTTTATAAACATTTTCAAACATCTCTTAAATATATCCACTTTATGCTAAGTTCATACATATTTTAAAAAAATTTACATTGGTTGAGTTTTCAAACATGTTTCTAATAAATCCACTTTGGGTAAAGTTTTAAACATTTTGAAATAAATCCACTTTAGGCGAAGTTTTAAACATCTCTTAAATAAATCCACTTTAAGTTTTATTTTATACATGTTTGAAAATTAAGTTATAAATTATGTTTTTAAAGCGCGTTTTAAATAAACCCATTTAAGACAAAGTTTCGAACTTTATTAAATCTATTTTAAACGAATTTTCTATTATGTTATCAATAAATCCACTTTAGACCATAGTCATTAGAATTCTTTTCACGACTATGATTAGACAAAGTTTACACATGTTTTCATTAAATCTTACTTAAAAAGAATTATCCCACCCAGTCTCTTTATCATACCATATATGCCAATGTTTATATGTCTTAACAATCCCGATGTTTATTCATCTTAACAATTTTGATGAAATCTACGTTCGAAAATTAAACTACCTCGATTATTGTATAAAATATTAGGTAAATATGGAATAGTCCTCTTTAAGTCGATCTAACGTTATTATCTTCGTTAAGTGGATCCTTAACTGATAAAAAAACGCTATATGGACTTTTTTTTTTTTTTTTTTACTTTTTTTTGGCATACAATACTCTCGTTAGCTTAAAATCCATTTAAGATTACTTTTTAACTTGGTTTTGTTTAATAAAAGCATTTTTAATAAAAAATTTCAAAGGTTTTGTAAAATGCCACTTTCAGTAAAGATTTTGACAAAAGGCCACTTAAAGTCGATCTAGCGTTATATATATATATATACTGGATATATATATATATATATATATATATATATATATATATATATATATATATATATATATATATATATATATATATATATATATATATATATATATATATATATATATATATATATATATATATATATATATATGTGTATATATATATATATATATATATATATATATATATACTGGATTATATATATAAATATACTGGATATATATATATATATATATATATATATATATATATATATATATACTGGATTATATATATATATATATATATATATATATATATATATATATATATATATATATATATATATATATATATATACATACTGGAAATATATATATATATACTGGATATATATATATATACTGGATATAAATATATATATATATACTGGATTATATATATATATATACTGGATATATATATATATATATATATATATATATATATATATACATACTGGAAATATATATATATACTGGATATATATATATATATATATATACTGGATATAAATATATATATATATACTGGATTATATATATATATATACTGGATATATATATATATATATATATATATATATATATATATATATATATATATATATATATATATATATATATACTGGATTATATATATATATATATATATATATATATATATATATATATATATCCCTTGAAACTTACTCGGATATGTGATGAAGTGTGCAATATAAAATTTTTTTTTTTTTTATCTAACCCTTAAAAATCTTTACAAATTTATTATATTTTGAAGTTAGAAAACTTTTGTATAGAAGAAATATCCATTTCTAAATGTCAACCTTAGATTAAAAATGTAGAGAATTATATAAAGAAATTGTTTTTTGCTTTTGTTTTAGTAACAATTTTTATTTATTTTAGTTAGTTTATTAACTTAAAGTTGTTTACAAGTTTTTTAGATTTTCATTTTCAATTATTTTATTAAGCTTTTAATGATAGGATTAATATCTATTTAATATTTAAAAAGTTGTTTTTCAAATTAAGCATTTTAAATACTGCAATGACGTAATATTTTGACGTATTTAATTGTAGTACTTTATACAGATTTTTATTTAATTACATCTATTGTTAAAAGAAATAAAAAGTTGAATTAAATTTTAAAAACTGTATTAACTTATATGATCATAAACCAATCGATTCAAGACTTTATAAATTTTTTAGAAATCCTATCATTAAAATCTTAAAACTTTATTGTTTGGTCCTATTGGATAAAATTTACAATGCAATAAAGTGTTTGGTTATAAAAGAATTGATTTTGGAACAGGTATTTGCAGTTAAAAAGTTGTTTCAAGAAGATTGTAATACTCCAACTGTTTTATATATTTTAGGATGGAAGCTAACAATGAAGATGTAAGAAAATTTCATTATTCAGTTTAATCATATGAAAGACACCCTTGAAAATATTTTCATTCAGTTGCTTTGTAATTTGAATCCTACAAATATTTGGTTACTTATACCTCCTAAAATACTTTTAGAATAAAAATATTTTTAGAACTATTTAAGGTTAATCTTAAATAAATCAACAAACAATTTTCATATAAAACATTAAATAAAGTTTTTGGTATCACTTCAATTATATCCTGAAATCTTTTTTATTTGTCATTAAGTCACATTTGAGAGTCACATTTGAGAATAAACATCTAGTATGCTTTATTCTCAGATTTGTTCTCAAAAAATTGTCTTCTGAGAACAAGTCAAGTAGAACAGTTGTTATCTTTTGAACATTTTTCACCACTCATCCGCTGCTGTAAAAAAGCTTAAAAAAAATTAAAAACAGTTAAAATTACCAGATTAAAACTTAATTTTTCTCAACCAGATGTATCTCAACATACTATATGCTTGAGAGATTTAAACTTAAAAATAACTTTATCAGCCGTTTTCAGAAATCCATCAGGCAGGAACGCCTGAATTTATTTTTTACCTTTTTTTTTTAAACATACGATACAAACTGTGTAAATTAAATTAAAAAATCATTGTCCTACATGGCAATGAAAAACTATAGGTAAACCTAGGTGAAAAATAAAAAACAAACACAATGTAATTTTGTTTGCAGTAATCAATTATGTAAAAATTTCTAAAAGTTTAGAAATATTGCGGTACAAAAAGAGTTGTTTTTCGGCTTTTTTTGGAAAACTTTTTTCATCAAAAATGTTACCTGCCTCTGAGGATAGTCTCATTTTAAATGTTACTTAAATTTTTAATAACAAAAAAATATATGATGCCTAATACTGTAAATATTTCAAATTTAACCTAAATGGAAAAATAGAAAATAAAGAAATAATTTTAAATTTAAATATTACGCAGGTTATATATATATATTATATTATACAATGTTCTTGTGTCCGAAGATATTGTTGGCTTAGCATAGGAATTGCTAAAAATAATCATTAAGACTAAACCAAAGTACCGTCCGTTATTGACCAAAATTTTTGCGTAGTACTACTTAAACGCTGATACAAGTTCAAATCCTGCCACCGCAAACTCAGCGTTTAAGTAGTACTTAAACGCTGAGTTTGCGGTGGCAGGATTTGAACTTGTATCGTTCAGCAGTCCGGTTTTTAATCTTTTATTCAACGCTCTAACCAACTGAGCTATCCAGTCACAATATTTATATGTTTTGGCGGCACACGAACCCGGATCTCTTTGCCAAACAACAAGGTATATATATATATATATATATATATATATATATATATATATATATATATATATATATATATATATATATATATATATATATATATATATATATATATATATATATATATATATATTATAGGTAATAAATATAGATTATGTAGCCACGGTGCTGAATTGCAGGTTGTCACTTTAAATTTTGAAGGTAAAGTATTTCTTAAACATAATTCTTGTTACGGCCGGAATTCCAGACGGAATTTTATTAACAACTCCGGCTAATCCGGTTTTGGATGAATTCAAAATTTCCAATCCGGTACACCCCTAGACATTATCAAGATTTATTGAATAATGTTAGGTTATGTTGTATAGACATAGATAAGATATAGTTAAGTGTTTAATAAAATTTATCTGAATTATTTTGAATGCAGTACCACTTTCATTGGACCATTGATTTGTAAGAACAGAGCAATATCTATAAACAGGGATTAAAAGATAGATTATAGCAACTATTTTTTTTATAAATCTTTGTTTGATAACAGATACTCATAAAACGCATGACAAGAGTATGATTTAAAATTATATTTTAAAATATAACTCTACTGATAATCTTTTTCTTTCTTTTCTCCACCACAAGACGTTAAGAAAAACATTATGAGACATTAAGTAAAACAATCGCACTACACAGGCGTTGTGGCTTGGAATGTAAATAATTGCACTATTTCAACAGCTCAGAACCTCATAATTTATCTCATAGGTTACTAAAATACTTGAATCAAGTATAGTTAGAAAGTTTTTACTTGTTATGTAATTTTAAGTTTATCTTACCTTCGTTTCTTCCACAATTTTTTTCACGTTTATTTCACGACTTTTTTTAAACTTCACAAGTTAGAATTTCGGTCATGGCACAGTAATTCATTATGTTGATAAGGAGCTTCTTAGGTTACAAATAAAATTAAATTTTCAACCTAATCCCAAGAAGGGATACTGTAAAGTTTAATTCAACTTAATGCTTCGAGCTCTTGTTATTCATAAGGCTAATTATTAAGTACATAATTGAGCCCTCATTCGAATGCATTTAAATACATTAAAAAATTCAACAGATATAGCACTACATTTATCTCTATATTTATTATTTTTCATTTTCTTGAAAATACTTTAAACTTTTAAAAGAAAAAATTTTATTAAGTTTTTTGTCAGTTATTATTTCATGAGTTTATTCTAGGATGTTATAATAAAGTTATAATTTCATGAGTTCTAAGATGGAGATTTTTAAACTTCTCTTTCTCTAGATATTTCTCTCATGAAATACATTCATAAAGCAGTGCATGTATACATACATACATACATACATACATACATACATACATACATACATACATACATACATACATACATACATACATACATACATACATACATACATACATACATACATACATACATACATACATACATACATACATACATACATACGTACATACATACATACATACATACATACATACATACATACATACATACATACATACATACATACATACATACATACATACATACATACATACATACATACGTACATACATACATACATACATACATTCATACATACATACATACATACATACATACATACATACAGAGCAGCCGTGGCGCAGTGGTAGCGCACTTGCCTCAGAAACAAAGGAATCGTGGTTCAAATCCCACCTCTGGGCTAGTTTTGCAACATAGGATAAGAAGGAGGCTTGAACCAATTAAATGCTCATCCGCCGTGCTATGTGATAAGACCGTAATGAATTCTAGGGCACATAAATAAAATTAAAAAAAAAAAATGAAACTACAAAATAATCAAGCCTCATTAAAACAATCATTAAAAAATTGTTACAGATTCCTGAGATTAAATATAGGATTTGAGAGCTAGTTATATTTGTAAGACTCTATTTACTCAAGGAAACAAAGACAACCAACTCATGTTTAAGATTTATAACAATCGCTTGAATTCTACATCTACGAAATTACAAAAGCACATTTATTCTTTAGTTCTTACTGTTTGTATTGAGAAGTAATTGAATATTTTCAAAAAAAATGACTCTACATTAATGGAAAGTCATCTGTACAAAACATTTTGGATACAGTTGTGCAAAACATGAGCAGGGGATCCGGATTTCAACATCTTAGGGTTGAGGACTCTTTTCGGGAAGCTGTACATATTAGTGCTCTGGCGACTATTATTACCTTCAATTTTAGCGTTGATGTTATCCCCAGCAAAGCAATCCATTTTTGATCCATATTTGAAATTTGCTAAGTTACTGCTTCTGATTTTGTTCTGGTACATGTGAGTTCTTTGGCTTTTTTTGAGTCAGGATATTTTCATTCGTTGGTTTGTGTCAGTAAATTGCACAGTTTTGTGCAATATATTGAATAATTTATTGAATTGAAAGACTGGTGATGACTTACTGTATGAAATGCTAATATACCTTCTGCAGCATGAAGTTTTTCTTAAAGTAGGCTGTCTTGCTTAGGCTGTAAAAATAACTGTATCGTTCTTGTAGACGCAACTAATTTGAAATATTTTTTGTGTTTTGTTGTGTATAAGGTATTCTAGCATCTAAAACAAAACAATATTTAATATAAAATAAACAAAAAAAAAAAAAAAAAAAAAAAAAAAAAAACTTGGTTTGAATTTTAAACATCAAGGCCTGTAGTCATCATTATTATTAGCCTCCATTTGTTTCTATTTTTAATAGTCTCCAATTTTTAAATTTTTTTCTTTAGTTTTATTTACCTTCAGCTTAATTGCTTAAGGTGGCAATGAAACCAAGAAAGAAATCTTACTTTTTTCAAAAATTAAAAAAAAAAATCTTTTGCAGAATATTATCCTCTTTAAAATGATATATAGAACATATATATTCAATTTATACAAAACCTTCTGTTCTTCATTTTTATATACTGGTATATAAATTTTTTATGTAAATATAATAATCTTTTGCACGAGATTGTCAACGTGCTGCAAAAATAAAAAAGCGATCTAGTCCAATCTTTAAAAAACAAATAAAAAAAAAAATTACGAGCAATCAAAATATGCTGTAAGGATAAAAAGATTGTCAATGAAAAATGTGATTCTTATGTTGCTGGTGATTTTTAACATATCTAAAATAATTTTTCATATTATTTTAGATAAAAGCTTGATATTCTCATGTTCATGATTTTTAACTGAATAAATTTAACAGATTTTAACTGATTTTTAAGATTTTCAAACATAATATCTCAAGAATGAATGAATGAAATAAGATTTTAAAATATGATATCTCAAGAATGAATGAATGAAATAAGTTGAAATTTTCAGTAATAACTCATTCTTATATAAATCGCTAACTTGAAAAAGGGGACATGTTATGTGAATTTTTGCAGGACATGTCCCCGTTTTCAAGTTAGCGATTCATATATAATCCATACATCATGGACTTATTATTTATATGTAATCCATACATGGGTTTTTTCTTTTTTGAGTATTAAAAATTTTTCATTTTTAACTTTTATACAAATAGTGCTTAAACACACTTTTTACTAATAGAGACATAACTTTTGACTAAATGGGTTAATCAAAAAAATGGTATGGTAAATGTATTTTGCTATCATCTTGAAGCTATGTTGAAAATTTGGTGTTGTTACTATGTTACTATCTGTAGATGTTTTAAAATTTTGTCTCACTTCAA